TATCTAACGCTCCTTATCTATGAACTTATAGACAGAAATAGAGAGGGTTTATATTCGGGGCTGGTATCTAACCCAGACTCAACCGAGTGCTGCGCTGCGGAATTCTTATGGCTGACTCGTGCAGTCCGCTACTACTGCACCAGACTCTCTACAGTATGCTAACGTTAGAACAACGTGGCACTAAATATTTTGCTTATTTTTTAGCCTGGCGACGATAACCGTAACCACTAAATGTGAATTCTTTATAAAACGTTAACATTTTTTATAAAATTCTTCTCATCCAGGTCACAGGTAACGATTATAATACCTGTAAAAATAAATAATTTAGCAATATGACTATATTGCAAATAAGTATTTCAGAAACGATCGCCTCGTTTGGCTGTTTAGTAATAAACACAAATACGTGAAATAAGCGAATGCAGTAATTATTATTTATTTATTAATTGCCTTAATTAGTAGCCACTAACGACCACAGTTACAAATATAGCGATAAAGTTCTAGTTTATGTACAAATACATATATGGCTCTTAATCTATGTTCTTTATATTTATTGTAATTATTTATCCTTGATAATATTAAGCTTTCGTAAAATCTAAATTTAGAATGTTTGATTATTATATCGTTTAAAGTTGCAAAAAAACGATTTTCTTCGATAATGAAAAGAATGCAGTACCTAATTGTTACTTGTAAATTACAATTAATTCCTCCTGTTGTTTTTACTCAGCAAGCCATGACAGTTGATAAAGAGAACAGGCGTTGCTGTCAATTTCATATCGACCACAGTTTTATTGACGTTTTATTGATTATCAGACGTGTGCAGCTGCTGTTCGAAACGTGATCCGATTGCTGAATCCATATTTGCTACGAGCATTCTTTCGTAAACATAACGATTTTTTATTTCAACAACGTCGTGGTTCTTGAAACCACTAAAATGTTATCACAACGTCAATTTTGATCTGAAATTCTATTTTTTTCGTTTCGTTCGGGCTTACTAATTGTAAGTTTCTTTTCTTTTATTATTTATTAATATTAATCGTTTAGAAATTTCTATTTACAGAACAATATTTTAAACTATTAAGTACTTCTGAGTTAAGTATTTGTTTATCTTCATTTGTCTTCTATTAAACTTATTACAATTTTTAAAAAAATATTCTTCATCTAAAAATTCGGAAGATTAATTACGATCCTATGTATACTTTGAACTCAACAATCATTCAGATATGTATTTCTAATAAGCATGAGGAATGTGAACAGTCCGTGTTCACCTATGAGAACAATTAGAACGCTAGATATCGTTCATATCGTCGCGCTGAGAACTTTAAGTTTCGTTATGACTCTCACGTTTCGCGACTAAATTACAATTACTGCTAATTAATTGAGCAATAGGTTCAGCACTCGTCCTGGAACAAAGCGTAGCGCAATCGAGTCAACGGAGAAATTGAAGACGACTCTCGATTGAATATTCCAAACTCGTCGTCGCGCTGATGACGGTTGTTCGCGAACTTCCATTTACCTGTACTAGTTTACGAGTTTCGATTTATTTCCTTAATGACGTTCTGCCGGTAGTTACAATTCCTGCTGTGGTGGAGCATCGATATAAACTTTTATTAAATTAATCATCGTTGTCAGATCGATTTCGTATCCTCGTCTTTCGGTAAAGTTTCCCCTCAGGGTTAGGGATGTACACCGCAATTGTCATAGCCGAAATTGGAGAATTATTTATCTAGCTTTAAATACATACAGATATTGACATTACAGATATTGAACTTATTATATGAATTGTTTGGTTAAAATATATTTAAAAAGGCCCAAAATATAACAAACATCTAAAAACATTTTTTTGTTTGGTCTACACGATTGTTGAAAATGTCTCATCTGAAACATATTAAATAAATTATTGTGTTAGATGTTAACATTTGGTGAATGGACGAATAGTTTTCCATACTTTAATTTTTACCAAAATGACAGTGATTTGACTGAAAAACCACGTCTTTTCACTTTCAAAATTAACATTCTTTCGTAATAAAATAGCAAGATTTCATCGAAACAAAAATTCTTTCGTCCATTCAGCAAAAGTTGCCGTCTTTTAACAAAATAATTTGTTCGAAATTAGTTTTCAAATACACCGAAAAAAGACGTTACTGGAGATTTGCTATATTTTAACCATTTTTAAATATATCTTAACAAACATATAAAATATTAAATTCAATACTTGTACTGCAAAATTACACTTCGTTTTGTTTTAAAATATGTACTTAAATCTTAAGAAAACAGGCTTGAATGTTGTCTATGACAACTGCGTGTCCCTTTTAATCAGAATTTCCGTCTGTGTGTTTCTTGGCAACTTCTAGTACCTGGCGTAGTTACTCTACGTCTGCTGGCAAGCTGTTTTCGAAGACGTACGAAATTAGGTCGGGTTCGCTAATTAGGAATAATTGATAAACAGCGTTTGGGTCGGCATATTTGCAAATAAAATCGTTGAATAAGGGAGCGCGCGGCGCTGACATGCCTCGCGCTAATTAAAACTCTCAGCGTATAGAAATTCCATTCGTCAATACGAGAGCAGAATTTTTTTGAATAGCAAGGAATACGATACCAGCACATCAGGTCACAAGTTTTGTGACGTATCCCCTTTGAACACAATCCTATTTTCGAAGGAAATAATTCAACTCGAATCTCTTTGGAGCAAAACCGAATTAAATGTTGCGTTTGTCGATATTAATATCGACCGCATTATTAATTTACAGTAATTTTATGATAGTTATTCTTATTTTGATGCTCTAATTGCGAAAATCATATCGTGAATTTTACATTTTTAAATGTTGTTATTGCGATACCTTAACGCTTTATACTTGAGAAGTTCACTGATTCGGGGATTCAAAGATTCAGTGATTCAGAGTGGCACGTAGACACTCTAAATATCCACAAATAAGCATCTGTATTTTTATTCAGAAATAATTAGATTTTCTCATTTTTATTTATTTAATATAAAAATGTACTTAATGGACTGTATGTTCTTATGCATTAAAGTTTCATTATGGCATTTCATCATTCATCGCTATAAAATGCCTTTTATAAGTAAAAATTCAATATAAAAATTCTCAAGAAAATATAAAGAGAATAGTAATAATTTCCAAAATAAATCCTCTCATAGTTTACCAGGTACAAAATAATAATTCAACCTACGACAGTCCCTTCAAAGCAGTAACGATTACTGGCGTTCGTTAACTGCGTTATAAACCGATGATGCATGAACTTCGCAGGCTGAGAAAGTCTTTAAAATTATGGACCTAAAATATCGCGGGTAAATGAGGCGCGTAAGCATCAGTCTGGTACGTTTCAGCAATAATCCGGGTCGCTGTGACGTGGCCAGAATCATCCGTCGTTAAGAATGCAATAACGGGATGGCTTACCCCGTCATAACGATGTCCCGTCGGTGGTACGTCGCGCTGGCGGAATTGAATCGACTATAGAAGAGACGGCTGCAAGCTCTGGTCGTTCGTTTTACGCGTATGCAAATTTTTATGCCGCACGCTTTACGCCCGGGAAGAACACACAGTAGATAAAGGGTAAACGTACCCCGAGAAACAGGCCGCATCGCGTCGAGTCTTTTTTACTGCGTTCGCGGCAAAAGGGAAGCTTGTTTTCGTGCAGGGTTGCATGCGACAACCAGGATCGCGAGAAACGTGCCGGCGTTGCGTTTTGATTTAGCAGAAACAAAGAGGTTGACGACCAAATGTAGGCAAAGCTAAGAAACCTTTATAATTGTTAAAGCAAAAATGCGAGAAAAGTTGATGACTGGATAAAATAGTAAAATACAGGCAAATGTTGATGTCTAGGCATAAGTAGAACTAGGAAAAGCTGTTTTAAAATAAAAAATGTTGAAGTCTAATAATTTATCGTAACAAAATGAAAGAGAAATGCGTTCTAATTTATCATAAAGAAAGAAGTTGACTAGATATAGGTGAAACTGAGGAAAACTGTCAACGGATTTGTTGTATGTAAGCATCGAGGAATTGTTATGGACCACTAGGTACGAAGCGAGGATTGCAGTGAGCAGTACACTATCAGTAAACGTCGCAAAGATTGGACAGCAGGTTATGATATTCCCAGAGTAAATTGTATTGGATGCACTCGTCATCCTCTAGACACGTGTTCCATTAAGAATCTTGTCCAAACTGTATTATCATTTAACAATTGTAGGTGAACGTTAAGTACATATACTTTAGGTGTTTATCCTTTCCTTAATTTTCGACCATAAATCATATTATAATAAAGTCCTTGTAACATTTCTTGTCCATTCAACTTTGTACGTTATTGTCTATAACAGTGGTAGCAAATCAATAACACGCGGCACCATTTGATTGGGCAGAGTTGAATACTAAATAAAATTTATTTTATGCAACAAATCTTCGAAATATGATAATTTTTTAATCTTGAAATAAACGCATATTAACACTTTACAACTTAGAAGACGATTTTCTACATTAATACATATTAATGTAACATTAAGTTGTTCATACAATTATATTTAAAGGTATACTAAGAGCTTTGTCTATTTCCTAAAATTAAATATTGCAACCAAAGACACAATTAATAAATTCTCTGAGGTAAACATTAAAGTTAAATACCCTGTATATATTAATATCAGTAGCTATATCTATGTCGATACGTTAAATATACTTTGATCCGACGTTATTAACTCCGTATACTAACAAACAACGTGGGACGAATAAATTAGTTGTTTCTTGAATAGCCCCGAGCTTTAATTGCGGTCCGTGGTTGATTCCTGTTGCCGCTCAGTTACCAGTGATCTCCATCAGTTATAAACTCTGTAGGTTATCACTTCGAGTTTGGCAACTTGGCTGGCAAATTCTAATCGTGAACTCCTCCGAGCCCACTTCCAGCCATAAGTCAGGAACGAATCGATCCCGATCGAAAACAATAAATATCGGAGACACTGGGAAGTAAGCCAAGTAATAATTTCATTTGCTTTCCAGGGCTCTCGCTTGGTGGTGGCCTGATAGTCCTGGCATCGGCGTTATCCGACGCATCGCTAGAATTACCAGGAAAATACAGTTTGCCCTCTACGTCGAGCATGCAGACGGACGATAGCACTCTACCGCAGTACCAATACGGTTGGTGTCTTCAGTTGTCGGGGTTGGCTTTGATCTTGGCGGAAGTGGCGGCTGTTTTAACAATGTCTGGGTACATGGCTCGCTTCTCCACCGTCGAAGAGATGGTACGGTATCAAATTTCTCCGATATCTGGATGTCAATATGCGCTCAAGGGTTAATTTCATGATACCCTTGTATTAGAATCTCCCAGTAAGAAATAAGCAAAGAGTACTTAAATAAAACTTATACTTTTCTACCCAAAACACAGACGCGCACGAAACTGACGCTATATTTTCAAAGAGCTTGTGTGAACAGTAATTATTCTTCTTGAATAGGTGAGAATTATGGTACCAGGAGCCGAGAGAAAGCTAAGGGAACAAAGAGGTCTCAGTTCGGAGTACCTAGTAAGAGCTCATCAAAAATCACCTGGACCATCGCAAGCTAGGGATTTTGGGCAACCTGCAAAAAGTAATTAACATTGTTTACTTCCTTTAATTCTCTACGAAGGCAACGTTGCTAACTTGTAACACGATTAATAATTTGCCCGTGTTGCAGCTCCCCAAAGAGTTGTCGAAGAGGGGACGTCCCTTTTGTGCAAGTCTGCGCCAGACATCTGCGCATCGAATCCTCAAGCCATCAGCTACGTTGATAAGGCAGACCTTGCTCACGTTTTACCAGCGTATCCAGATGCGAAGAACGCGGAACCGCGGTATACGTTTGGCGATAAATCGGAAGCCAGTGTTATCGACTCACGGTTAAGCGGTTTCGCCGATAAGGAAGGGTTAATCGACTCGAGGATTCTGTCGGACTCGCGACAGAATATGATCGCTTTTACCGAAAGCAAGGAGCACACCGTCGGTCAGGAGCCGCGGTACACCGAATTTTCTCCCAGAACTACAGAACAGAATGTGGTTGATTCGAGGTTAAGTGGTTTCGCTGAAAAGGAAGGTCTCCTCGACTCGAGACTCAGTGTTTACGGTGAAAAGAATGAGTCGTTGCTGGACACTCCGTTCGGTTACGACACACGCTTCAACAGTTTGGCTGGTCAGACTGTGCCCATCACCCTGAAGAATCAGAACACGTCTGTTTCGGCGATCCAGTCGCAGTACATCTATCAAAATTTTGGAACGATACACTCTGGGATTTTGAGGGTGTCGGAGCCGGGGACAAGTTCAAGTTCAAACTCGAGTCAGCGAAGCATGACACTCCAGAATCCAAAAAGAAAGTCACAGATCGCGCAAAACACCTTCAGCACGATGGAGTGCGAGAAAAGGAAACGAGGACCTGGAATTGCCGGTAAGGCAGGATTTTACACTGGTAGCGCGGTATGACCACCACCACCTCCTCCGACGCCAAGGTAACTGGAAGAGGAGGAAACGCCACTCTAATTTCATATACAAAGAACTAGTGGCGTTGAACTCTGTATGTCGGAGGAATGTATCCAGATGCATGGAAAGACGAAATCTGTTTTATCGTATGCTGTAGTGAAGATTTCTACCGCATCTGTCGTCGATAAGACAGAGAATGACAGAAAACTTGTTACCATATTAGGTGGTAACTACCATACCTACCATCGAAAATATAGTACTCAGTGGACATATTATCCATGTCTGTGCAGGCAATTGATGTTTCTCATGTGAGTAGACTCATCACGAGACAATCTTGTTCGAACGTTAGAGAAAGAACCTGTACATAAATTACCGCTATCTAGGTTAAAAACGAACTATGTGCAAGAGATGGACAATTTCAGAACTCTTCGAGGGACGTGCGACGTAGTTGTAAGACCATACATGTTAATCGATAAAATAAAGACACAGGAATTCGTGGTAGCGTACATACTCTAGGCTTAGCGTTAAGCGACATAGGCAACGTATCTTAAAAAGATTAAAGTATAGGGTCGATTTTATTAAAAAATTTATACCTTTTACGTGTCAATCCGTGAACTCTTTGCCTCTAGAAGAGCTAGTCGATCTTTCTTTGAACTTTTGCACGGATAAACGACAGGGTTCGACTCGTTCGGGTATCTAGAACGACATTCAGTTGATCCACTGACCTGTCCTCAGTTGTGGACGACTAAATTCGATATACTCGGTATGATATCCGATTCCCAACGTCACTTCCAGATTCGCGAGTCGGCGCACTGAGCAAATACGTAAGCACCTACGGAAAGTAGATCAACTGACACCGAAACTTGCAACTCGCTGTTAAATTTAACCTCCATTAATCACGTAATCGCGTTTCAGCTACATAACCAATCATAAATCGAGCGGAGCTATAAGTCGAAGAGGGATAATAATGTAGTCGATATGCTGTAATATACTCGGTGATCGGTATAGTCACGAATACTTAATGACGCGTGAACAAGTCTGACCATTTTCGGGAAAGGTGGAATGCCGTGAGTTACGAGCGAGAATTCGATCAGCCGTTTGACGAACCGTGTGAAAGATTTTACCATAGACACCTATCATCGACGTAAGCACGATCGGAGGAGGAGAGAATAGTACAAATTTAATTTTAATGTTACATTATCATTAGTGCTCGTCGTCGATTTGATTCTCTACGTTACATCGATATCAACACTTTGTGAGAACAAATTGGGGGATTCTCTCTTCCATGGATCGTTTCCTTAACTTTTTAACTGCGTTCGACGTATTTATTCGTCATATAGAATGGAAGTTACAAGTCAATGTCATTTGGTGGTATGTTTTCTTTATAATACCAATAGAATTGCTATATGTTTCATAAGAAAACTTTTGTTTATTCGCATGCTCAACAACTGGTACTTGTTTTTAAAAATACCACGTTGTAGTCAACTGAATTTCTTCAATTTTTCTTGTTAGTGAAACTTATTATTTTTTGCCAATTTTTAAATTTCTAACAAATAACAACATTTTCAACGATGAATTGTGCGATAAAATTGATTTCTTCCTCATTTTATTTTACGTTTTCAGTAAAATGTATAATACAAATTCGCATTTAAAGGGTTAAATCGTCACCAATGTATGACAAAGTCTTTCGACATGTTCGTCAATCGTGGACATATCAGGAACGAAAGCGTTTTAAACTCAACTGCCACGGAGTTGTCGCGACTTCAACTTTCTTCCTCGTTTGCGTCGCGTACGTTTTCCCCCTGCCAAGGTGTACTGCAAGGGTTGAGAATATTTTAAGGTCTCAGAACACCCCCAAGCCAATCCTGACGGAAAGGTTTCACTTACGAATCGGATCGTACGTTGTTGTGTATGTAACTTTGCAACTTATTAATATCTAAAGATCGTAGGTGAGTGTAATAAAATGTTTCTTTTCTAAAGAATGTGCTGTTTCCTTCCCTACCCATTGAAACGTAGTCAAAAGAGCAAGAACATATAACTGACACGTTGAAATTCTAGTTTTAAATTTAGTAAAACAATATTTACGTGTTTATTTCCGTTTAACCTGAGTATTTTCGGAATCACATGTGTTCTTTTATATGTAGTTTGGGAACGAAGAACACTCGATTGATAAGACAGGTTGCCCTGCTGGTAATGTAGGCCACTCTGTTGATAAATCCATCGATCAATTAGGAGTTTACATTACCGATTCTTATCGACAGAATATGTTACATTATTGGCAGAGTATTCTACCTTATTGACTTAGAGTTCTGCCTTTTTATACTCAAATATATGTCAGATACCTCGTACTCTGCCAATTGTTACCGCACTATCAAGTTTGCAAAAAGTTCTTTCAACACAACAGATTTAAACACGTAATGTGTAATGTCGGAACCTGTTGATCAATATATCGTTTAATATGTCAAAATAAAATCAATAACAACTGGTTCCTTATGGAGTCACGGTCAGTAAAGGAGTAATCATCCTTCTGTATTATTATTTAGGTAAGTTCTAAACAAAATTGACAGTATTTAATATTTTTACGATGAAACGCAAACGGACCTATTATACAACCTGACAGGTCCTGAAATTCCTGTCGAAGGATCGAGAATTCAGCAACGTCTATCCAGTTCCTCTCTCAGATGGCTCTGTTCGCGAAAAGCATTCAACCATCATTGGTTAAGATTATTCGCCAGATGGCGAGGCTGTCCTTATGTCGCGAGACCTCGTCTCTAATGTTTAATTAACACCGCATAATTGCCGGCCAATTAGCCGACGCCGTTTAATATTAATCTGCAATTTGAATTCATTTCGATGCGTTTAAAATTTATTGAATACATAATTAATACTGCGTGTTGCGAATGCAGATACGATGCACGAATCCCGCCCTCGGCGCGCTGTTCCGGTGATTTATGGAGACAGTCCAGCCAAAAGTTCGCGCCCGAAAAATCCCACGAAAACAGTTAATCGTCCTCGAATGCGTTGCTCGTAAAAGGATCGGCTTGTCTGGACAGTGGCGTGTACACATTCGTTACCGAACATTGCGTTTCCAATTCGGGAGCGTGCAACAACTCTGTTTCAAACTTCCACTTAATTAATACGTTTAGCCTCCGTACACCGTTTCTTGTTCGATAAGTCTGATTTACGTTGGTCGCTGTTGGTCACGTTTCTTTTGAAGACAGTAGAGATTGACGATCGAATTATTTATGGTGGATTAAATTGAACCGTTTGATGACTTGACTTGACCTAACTTTTTGGGGTCCTCTTCTTGCTGTAATGAGGAACATTAATATTTGGACACTTTGTATATTTGCACTCTTATATTTTAATTTCTTTTATTCAAAGTTCTTACCAAGTTACGAATATCGTATGTGTTCTCAATTATTTCTTTTTGCGACTTTCAATTATTGAAAAAGGAAATGATTGAGCGTATGTAAATATTAGCACTTTATTTAATGACCACAATTTCATTAAGTATGCTGCTTATATTAAGTTTATTATGAGCATGTCATCAGAAATGGCAATTTATATTACGACTTTTTGTGACGATTCTACAGAACTGACATATGTAAGTAAGTTGAAAAATGTTATAATTCCAGGTTCTATAATATTTCTGTATCACTTCTTTTATATTTTCTTTTTCAAACTTACGTTGTTCCTTTCATATCTACACATTCTGAAAACAGACTTCAAATAATTCAATCCCTCCGTACCCACATTAACATATAGTAATTTATTTCGTTAATACACGTCAATTAGTTTAGTCGAAAGTACCACGAAATTGCAAGCAAAGATTATTAAAAAATTTAATTAAATTTATTCAATCAATTTGCTTTCTAATTACTTAAATAATAATCTGCGAACAGAAGACACATTGTGATAACCTTACAACAATACAATTTCTCTAAAACAATACTCTGGCCACGACAGGGTTGAACCATTCAAATCACCACGTAGCGCCAATTTTCTCGAATAACCTCGAAAACCGAATCACGCGAAACTTTCAATTCCGATTCTCACCAACAACCCTCCGATTTCTCTCCGAGCCCTTGCAAAAAGGACAATTCCGTTCTTTAATTTCCCCGGGCTTTTCCTTTCTAACGAAACCCGCCGAATCGATACTCACGCCCTCCCTAGCCCGAATCGCAGAGCACGAAGGGGTGCGAGTAGATTGTCTCTGTCATTTACCTGGTCGCCTTTCCCCTCGCTGCTTCCTCTCCTTCCCGCGTCCGAATATTCGAGCCAACCCCTTCCTTCCTGTAACCTGGCACCCTCGACGTCCGACCCACCCTCCTCGATGCTGCTGGTGCTGCCGCTGCCTGTAGCCGTCTCGCTCTAATCCAATTAAAAACGGCGGACGATCGCGCGAAACAGCGGCTCATCGACCACGGGAATTTTAATTGATGTTACAGGTACGAGAGGGTAGTAGCTGGCTCTGGAGGAACGAGAATAGAGAAAGGGTTGGGCCAAGTCAGGGTGGGAACGAGGGTGGCGTCGTTGCTGGCTGGATGATGGTCTGTCAGCGAGGCACGTCCTACCCTGACGGAAAGTTTCGCGAACACGAATCCCTCTTCAACGTGTCGCTGGGAATCGTGTTAACTATCAGAGGCGTTGTGTTTACGCTATACAACGCTCAAAGAGGCAATGGAATGCGAGCAAGCCGTAAGTTTCCTCATTAACGTATTCTTGGCGATGTGGTTCCGCGGATTCACGCATGTTAACGCGAACTACCTTTGCTGTGCTATGGACAGTTGGTGCTTTCGAGACATATTGGACTCGTGCTACGCAGGGTTTTTTAACGGAAGCTTTAAAGCTTTATCTATTGATAATTACAGGGTGTAAATCATCAGTGGCGTTGTGATGGTGCGATACCAACTTTTCTGTGCTATGGAGAAAAGGTACTTTCAAAACATTACTGATAGCATCGTCCATTCGTATCATACTTACGTGGTTTTGTCAACTGAAGCTTTAGAATTTTAGATATTAATAAGTACACAGTGTTCAAACTATTTGAAACGTAGGCCAAGACCATAACTGATAACTAATTTCTACTTTTACAGATTCAGATAAAGAATTTATTGAAATGAAAGCATGTCTCATTTTCGAAACTGTCTAACATTATTGTTGATACTTTGTAAAGAAAGTCAAAATATAACAAAGTTAAAATTAAAAATGTATTAATGTTAACGCAACAGATAGGATAAATCCATTAAGAAAAAGAAATTGTTATTAAAAATAAATAGCTCGTCTATGAATGAACGATGAGCCACAGAACAGTCTCAGATGGAATCTCTGAATCTTATTGAATTCAACAAAAGGTTCCCAACATTAGTTCTCCCGTTTTATTTGCTTCTTCCTCACTCGCGAG